TTAGAAATCACACATTAGGAAGGCGAAAATAATACCCTATATCAAGGAATATGTATTCTCTCTCAAGAGGTCTTTCACATACTTCAAAGACTTTGGTACATGCTTCCATCCACAGAGATTCATTCTCACGACTGCGGAGTATAATTCACAAGGTTTTAAGGAGGAGACTCAAAACCTCCAATTTAAATCTTTCACTCGCGATATATTTACCCGCGATCACAAACTGGAATTTTAGGATTCTAGAAACTCTTTTTTAAAAGGTTTCACGAAGGGGCGTTTTCGCAAGAGGGAATTATCAATTAAGTTCAGGTAGATTTCCTTAACCCCCCCACTAAGGACACAGTTTATATCCACGAGGTTCATTTTCCAGAGCCACGGTGAAATAGGCCTGGGTATGCATTTCAATAGGATAGAATGAAGTGCAACTGCATCGGATCAAAAAATGCCAATTGGGGATGGAACCAGTTAAGATAAACCACACCTTTTCTTTCTTTTCACGTTCAGTATTTAACACCCATGGGAGGGGGGGGGGAAGAGTACTTGTAGTTGGTTTAAAAGGCATAGAGATAGAGAGAGAGTCGACACCCGACCCTAAAACGGATAGAGAGAGAGGGAAGTATTTAAAAGAGTAGAGTATGTGAAATATCGAATATCAAAGGTTAGACGTCAGACGTTAAACATCCAACATCAACCAAATATCAAACATCCAACATCAAAGTTTCCAATCCAATCGATGAGACAAGGAGACTTCATCATCTGAAGAAAAAAAAAACATATGTACCATATCATACCAAACAGTTACATATTGGAACAAGAACAAGAACAAGGACACCAACGGCAATGGAAATAATATCCAAAACCAACACCTCTCTCGCTCCCCCCATACAAAACCGAACTGAAAGTGGATAACAAAATTTTCCATTCGACGATAACGTAATGGAAACTACTGTAACGGTGGAGGGAATTGTCAAGAAACGTCAACAGCAAAGGGAACACGGGAACGGGAGTGTAAGTGTAAGTGTAAGTGTAAGTGTTGGCGTTAGCACTCAGAGCAATAACAACGAAAATTTTTCACTTGTCTCTGTCTCTGTCTGTCTCTGTCTCTCGTCATCCTGGGTATGGGTGAACTGGTTTCAACAGAGCCAAGGCAGAAGATGAACGAACAAGACACGATAAGACATCTGGGAGTCTATGATACGTTAATGTTAGTGTTCGTGGTACTGTTAATATAGATCACACTAGATTACACCAGGCTCTGCAATTTGGTTAGCCAAGACTTCACTCTCTTTATTATATCACATATACATACGTATTTGGTATTCATGCCTTATATAAACATACTTAATCTATACACACTTCTCACCTCTTCTTACAATCATCACAATACCATTTGCCTCTTGGTAACGTCGTCAGTCCAATGCACGGCAAATGAAACCATTCCAACTCACAATTGGCCCCATCACATCCTACCATCTCTCCATACGCAACTTGATTACAATAACAGTATAACGGTTCCCCATATTCATTGACTTTGGGCTTGTGTCCACTACTGCTCCCGCTTGTAGTCCCAGCGGCAGTGCCTGCGCCAGTGCCAGCTGCACTTGCACCTGCTGTCGTCGTTGTCGCTGTCGCTGTCGTGGTGGTGCTATTACTCCCAGATGTAGATGTCTTGTTGCTATTACTATTGTTCTTACGTTTTTTATTCGTTTCACTCATGCTATTTGTAACGTTGCTGCTCGGCATAGTCGTGATACTACTGGCCGCAACCCTTTTACGTCCTTGTCCTTGTCCTTGTCCTTGTCCTTGTCCTTGTCCCTGACCTTGGCCGGGATTATCATTGCTATTACCGCCATTGTGCGTAGTACCAACACTGGTCCCTGGATTACTGGTGCTACTGGCGCTACTGCTATTAGATACAGGCTTACCATCACCGGGCTGCTGTTGAAGTTTCTTATTAGCTGCCATCGCCTCCCTTCGAGATTCACTCTTCAAGCTTTGCGATGACTTCGCACCACTCCCATTCTTGGTAGCCTCTATCTTTTGCATCAATTCATGGTGAAGATGCATGGCTGGGTGGTTATCTACTCCTAATCTCAACTTTTCAGGTATTTCCTTGTTCTTGATCGCAACTTCATACGCCAATTCCAACCGTTCCGTCAAATCCTCCATAGTCTTCAACATAATAGACGATACATGCATCTTCTCTTCTAGCGACGGAATTAACTCTTCAAATAGCCTATTAATTACGCCCAAGGTGTCTAACTTATTCCCTCCTTCTTTGTCCCCTTTGCTTCCCACAAACCTATCAATGTTGGCATGCAATCCAGGTAACGTATGCACACACTTAGCATCGATCTCATGAAGTAATGTCAGATATCTAGAGGTCTCAACTGGAAATTCTTCTAGTACATCGGTAATATCCGCTAACCCAGGATACAAATTTGCTGGTGAACTCATCCTTCGTAATGGAAAATAAAAAAAACACACCAAATAAAAGCTAATACAAAACTAGACCCACACAAAACTTATACCACACTCTGTTGACCAGCTTCTATCTACCTTACCTCGAACACAAATACCTTTCAACTAAACCTATTCCGTTTGTTACATTGCATTTAAATATTCAACAGTCTCATTTCCCTTTGATTTCGATTTTTCATCAATCTGTAAGCTTAAATATTTACACTGCGAATAATGAAAAAGTTCATTTGCAGAGGGAAAATAGACGTTACTGGAAGTGCACTTCATATATATGATTTAAGAGATGTGTTGATATGATATATGAACGAATTATTATTAATTGTATTATAGTTTACCTATACTTGTATGTATATACATATATATTATAAGTGTGAATCGCGGAATTATCTTTCTTTGTTCCTTTTCTTGCTTTTTATTTTTTATCGTAGTTTTAGAAAATATAGGTTTTGTATCTTTTACAATGGACGTCGACTAACTGACATGTTCTAGCCATCCATCAGGTTTCTTTAAATTGTTGACAGTGTAGAATAATACACCACATGAGAAATCCTTCCAGGTGAAATCTAGATTTGGATCACAGGCACACTTGTTTTCAAATCTAACAACATCATCAACTGGACATGAATGGAATGGGTTATGGAAGTAACCTAAATCATTGAAATGATGAATTTCGTCACGGTCCAAAAACAATGCTGCGGCAATGGAATGAACTGGCGCATCACCCCATCTTTCATAGAAGAACCCACCTGCTTGATCTAGGAAATCAAAATACTTGGAATAAGCTTCTCCTCTCCAGAAATCTAAAGCACCAATTTCAAAGTTCGACCAGAAATGACAGTTATTATAAGATCCACCGTCATCATCACTAATAAAATCTAACATGTTGTTTTCGTGTAAATATTCAGGATACAATTCCATGAATTTCTTGGTAGTATTCCATAAAGTTGCAATGGTGGCTTCGTATTCATGAATAGAAATGGTGAACCCATATTTCTTGTTGTTTTCTCTCATGAACTTGAAAATATCATAGTTGATATCACAGTGTAGCTTGATATCAGGTTCAACACGCCAATACCAGTCGTATTCATCCATGGTTTCATGTCTATAAAAGAAACCACTTTCGTATCTACACATAAATCTGTAAGATTCCATATCACCAAAAATAATTTCTTTCTTACGCATTTCTTCTCTAACTTCTGCACAACGTTTTTGATCAATCCATTCTGGATATGTCCACTCAGCTTCAGGGATCAACCCATATTTAGTCTTACCTGTGACTAAAGCAGTGGTAACATCAATAAATTCTTGAGAAAATTCGGTTTCACTTAAAAACACCCAATCATAATTGTAATTCTTATTAAATCTGTCTTCAACATGCTTGATAGCGTCCACTAGGTTATAAAGATCTCTGTCTCTAACCAAAGTGACAAAAGCTGCCTTTTCTTTATCGTTTTCATTACGTGGATATTGAACTCTTGATGGATAAATATAGTCACCACTATCCATATAACTCTTGCCTTTGTAAGAACTATAGTAACCAGTGACACGATCCTTCTTCTGATATAGCATCATCAAAGTGAACATCACCACAGCTGCAATTCCTACCAATCTGATGGTAAAATTCTTCTTTGAAGAGACATTCTTTGGATGGTCTTTCACAGCCATATCCTTCTTCCCCATCTTGAAGCTGTCGTTCCTTGTATTTCCTTTACAGAAAAATTCTAATCACAATTTGCAAAAGGTTAAATTTGAGTTAGAAATATACAGTCAACTAGTCAATAAAGTCAATTAATCAATCAATCAAACCAAGCTGTTCTATTGATATTTATTCTATTTCTATTAGATCTTAACTAACCTTTAAGTCTCTTAATCTTAAGCTTTGATATTTGAACACGTATATGCCGTACATTCTGATAAATATTTTATATAAGAAACAATTGTAATCACGTGATTATAAGTTTGTAGGTATACCCTATATTGGCAGATCTAACGTAAAGTAATAGTTGATGATGTAATGGAATCTAATCCTTATATATATACATATATATCTACATGCTTATAAACATTTCAGTTTGATTAAGGTTTATATATAATCGTTTTTATTTATTTATTGGTTTGCGATTAATTCAACTAATCGCAGAAATCATACATATCTATATATAGGTAATGGTATATTTATGATAGGAGAGTTTGTTAATGATGTGATTAGTAGCTATCCCATGCTGATGGTTTCTTTTTACCCGATACTTCGTAGAATCTTGGAACACATGATTGACTCTTCCAAGTCAAACTGAAATATGGATTACATGAACATTTGTTTTCTAATCTTATTCCTCTTTCTTGCGGACAAACGAATTCAAAAGCATGTTCGTCTAACTGATGATTATAACCGAAGTCGTCGAAGAAATGGAATTCATCTTTATCTAATAACATTGACGCAGCAATAGAAACAAAATCATCATCAGTCCATCTTTCATAATACCAACCGTTGTGTTCATCCACAAATTGGAAATAAGCTTGATATTCTTTACTTCTGAAAAATTCAAAAGCACCAACCATATTACCGGTTTCAATACCACATTGATTGTATGAATTACCATCTTCAGAGACAAACTTTAACAAATTATTTTCACTTACAAAGTTTGGTGCAAAGCTCATAAAATCCTTTGTATGCTTCCAAATAGTCTTAACAGTTTGTGGGAAGATAGAGGTCTTGTAAGATTTAACGAAACCTAATCTTTTGTTGTTCTCCCTCATAAACTTGAAAACATCATAGTTAACATCACAAGCAATCTTCATATCAACTTCAGTAATCCAGAAATAGTCGTAATCGTCGAATATACGATGATTATATAAGAACCCACTCTTGTAACGCCATAAGTTTCTATAGTTAGCTAACCCACTGGTTGGAATATTAATTTCCATCATTTGTTCCCTAACTTTCAGAGCTTTGGCCTTATCAACGGATTCAGGTTCAGCGAATTGTCCTTCTGGAACAGTTGCAAATTTAGCTTTACCACTAACAATTTCACCTAAGACATATTTAAATTCATCAGATAAAGGTTTGTTATTTATGAAAACCCAATCATAGTTGTAATGCAAATTAAAACGATCTTCCATAACCTTAACTGTTCTAACAACATCATATAGATCAGGGTTTTGAACCATCATTACTAAACAAGCTTTTTCTTTAGGGCCATTATAGACATGATGTTTAACTCTATCAGGATATTCATATTCTGCAACATCTTCATCATAGAATGATTCACCAAAATAAGAAGAGTATTCTCCAGACTCATTTAATAAATCAACATATCCATTAAATAAGAAATAGATTGTTACAATGGCAAATATAACCCCACCGATAAACTTGTAATTACCGTTCGACTGTTGAGGAACCAGTATTTTTTTACCCATTTTTTCCCAACCAAAAGATATATCCAGATCTATTCCAAGTGTTTACCTTCTTTTTTAGATCCAATTGCAAATGATGTCTTATCCTATGTACTATATCAACGAATCTGCAATTTCTTGTTCAATTGTCAACTTCGACCAAATATAAATATAAAATATAAAATATGTTTGCTATACCCTTCAGCCTTGCTGCAATATATCAAAAAACCCAAACTAGCTATATAAGGAATAAAGATACTTCGCGGTAAGGTCACTTGAATATTAATCTGCTATTGATTTTATCAAAGCAATCAATTTACAATATTGTGAGGTATTCTGAACATCAATCAATTCCTGATATTAAAATCTTAACATATCGCTAAATCTGACTATGAGATTTGGATTATAACAGCTTCAATTGACACGTAATAGCCAATTTCATCATTTTTAGTCAAAAAAACAGAATTATCCCCAGATATCACGTGCTAACAAATAACATTACCCTGATGTTACACGTGATAACCATCTGATCAATATTCACGTGATATCACATAACATTACCCTGACATTAACTTTTTTTTTCTAAAATTTATTAAAATAAATTAATTTTAGATAGAATCAGCGATGTGAGATGGGTTTGTATGGTTAAAAAGGTAAATAAACTAATATTTTGAAGTCAATACTTGCTTGTTGAAGACACCAGCTGCAATTCAAGTACTTATATAGCATCTTCATATTTGAGGAGCTTGGATTTCTCAGTTTGCGCTGTTTATATTTATAGAGTGACTGTCACCGATTAACTCAGAATCACTACTATTGCTAAAAAAAATAATATAAATTAAAATAAACGACAGAATATATATATAAGATAATGACTACTGTTGAATCACCAACTTCTGGAAAGAGATCATTTTCTGCAACGATAATAGATTTTTTTAAGAGACCATCCAGCCGTAACCAAAATTTATCGGGGGATAATAAAGGTGATCAATATTCTTCTTTGAAGTTTGACAGTGTAGTAGGTGAGGAATATGAAAATGGGAAAACTATTCAGTCAAATAACAGAAATGATAATACTGGGATTAATGAGAGAAAAAATTTGAATCACATCCGTAAAGCACGTCTTTTGGGCTCTAGTTCTCAAAATGATAATGGTTATGCGTCGAATTCAAAATGGGACAACTCTGTTTTTTTATATGAAGCTGATTCAACTGATGGTTCAGTCGTTTCTCGTCCTCCTGTTTTACCAATTTTACCAATTCAAAGGTTAAAACTACTAAGACAAAAACAATATTGGAGACAAAGATTAAATAATTACAATGGAATGAATCCAAGCTTACGTAGATCTTCACACGGATTACAAGTGAATTTGAAGACTCCTATCTTATCACAAACTCCGACAAAAGAGAATGAAAAAAGTGCTGTAGTGTTAAATAAGAATGCTTCTTCTAAATTATTAAATAACTCTAAAACTTGGTCTGGTGAATTCGAATATGATCTAAATGATTTCAAAAATGAACCTATAACATCGAAACAAATATCAACAGCTACTACTTCAAAAGCAATACCAGATTTGTCTTCAACAACTCCATTAAAGATGAAGACTAATATTTCAAAAGAATCAGACAGTTCCTTAGATTTAAATACAGCACAAAAATCTTTATTACTAAACGGATTGAAACCACCAAAATCATCTGTTAACAATATCTCTTTTGAAGTTAAAAAATCTGGTTCAGTCTTAAAGAACAATAAACCAGAGCTAAACGTTTTGCCTACAATGGGTTTTGATTTTATTAAGGATACAGAAACTCCTTCCAAAAATACAGTAAAGGCTTCGGTGAAACCTGTAAACATGTCAGAGCCTGCTTTGCCCTTGCATAAGCATCGTGAAGATCCAGATGAAATAGAGGATGAAGGTCTAAGGAGGAAGAAGCGTTCACATCTAAGTGCTGATGCAACAAAACCCTCATTCAGTTTCTCAAAACCAGAATCTACATCAGTAATACCAGGATTTGGACAAGAAATGAAAGCTGAATCTACAGCTATTAAGCCTTCCTTCTCGTTTGGTAAAATTGCCCAAGACTCAGACAAACCTCAACCATCTTTAAAGATGGGAATAAATATCACCCCAATAACAGAAAAGGAAACAACTCCTACTCCATCCTTTTCATTTAAAAATCCAGAACCTGCTACTGAGGAAGATAAAAAATTACCAATATCTTTTGGTTTGTCTTCAGACGATAAGAAAGAAGCTCCAAAGTCAACGCTCAACTTTGGAGGTATTTCCAATGAAAACAAAGAGGTTCCTGTAGAGTCATCATTTAATATCAGCACAAAACCAAATGAAACAAAGGGTAACGGTGAAGCTAGCACTACTCCATCTTTCTTATTCAATTCAAATCAAGCTCAAGATCAGCAAGAAAAAACGACTAAACCTGTTTTAAGTTTTGGTACAAACGTAGTTGCAAAAGAAACTGAATCAACAAAAGCTACATTTAAATTTGGTATTGCTGCAGTTGAAAAGAAGGAAGAACCAGCTAAACCATCAATATCATTTGGCTTAGGTGCTTCCAATAGTAAGGAAGCAACAACAAAGCCGTTAGTATCATTTGGCCTCAATGCTGCCAAGGATAAGGAAGATACCCAAAAGCCGTCCTTTTCATTCAATGCTTCTCAAGATTCAAAAGAAACAACACCCACAACATCTTCTTTTATGTTTGGTAAAAAACCAGAGGCTGAAAATACCGATGATGTTCCAGCAACAATTGGAAAGAGCACAATAGAAGCTCCACAAGCTTCTGCACCTTCCTTTAATTTTGTTGGAGCCACGTCTAAAACATCTGAATCCACTACCAGCGGGGAAGGTACCAAGCCATTTCAATTTGGATCAGGTAGTAATATCATTACTGAATCAAAAGAACTGGGCATTTCCTTTGAAAACAAGGAAACAGGTTCAAAGACTACAGATTTCGCATTCAATAAAGCACCTTCTACCAATGCTCAATCTATTGTTCCGGGAGGTCCAACATCAGGATTTTCATTAGGTACTAACAAGGCTGTAACTAATTTTAATCCTCTATCATCAAATATTGCATCTTCCACAACAAGTACCAACCCATTACTATCCAATAATTTAACATCCAACCCATTACTTTCAAACAACAATGCTTCATCCGGTTTTAAATTTGAGAAGAAGCCATTAGCTAAACCATCAATTGGGAATGGATTTGGAAATAGTTTAAGTAATCCTGTCACCAATACTCCTTCATCTTTTAACTTTGGAGGAGCAAATAATATTCCACCAGTTAATTCAGCAGGTGGTCCATCTGCATTTAACAATACTTTCAATCAATTTAATGGCACTAATGCCAATAATAACAATAGTATGATGTTCAATGGTAACAATGGAATGAACACACCAATGGGGATGGCTAACCCGGTGGCAACAACTGGAACTACAGCTCCAATGAATGCTTTCAATCCATCAAGTCAAATTAATATGAAATTTGGTAATACAGGTAACGTAAATCCTGTAAATATATTTTCAGGTCATAATCAAGCACAAATACCAGTACCAACTCAATCACCATTGCAAGTATTTGGTGGCCCTGGTGCTGGTATGAACGGCAATGACATGCCATCATCAAATAACCAGCAAGCAATGATGGGTAACATGCAAAATCTACCAGTGGGTAGGAAGCTTGCAAGAATGAGACAACACAGAAGATAATTAACTATGAATGAAGAAAAATTATTCACCAAGAGACAAAAATTGACCCACACTCATCACATTTTCTAGCATATAGATATAGATATATATAATTTAAATATTGTAATATCGTAGTACTTCTAATTAACATTTTTATTTAAAATATATATGTGCCCAATAAGTCGATTATAACTAAAACTTTAAGTAAAGCTTTACTATAGTAATAACTTGATTTATGCTTTTAATATAGGCAAGTACAACAGTCTTGTTCGATCCTTTAAGTTTGATAAGTTGACTATTCTTATCAAATTTATTCAATACTTCTGTAGTAATTAGATCTTCATAGTACAAGAAAAGCTTGATTAAATAAACCGATAAAGTAATCCAAGTAATATAATTTGTGTTGAATTTGTTTGATTAAGTTATAGAAGTTAGTTGTTCCTAACCTGATCTTGTTAGTGTTATATTGTTAAGGTCAAAATCATCTAGATTGCTTTGTAAATACTATTGCAAATTTTTAAACATTGATTTAGTTCTGTTTCTCTTTGATATCTATTCGTGATTCTATAGCAGGGTATTAGAAGAAACCTAATTATCCATTTCTAATTAATAGTCCAAGTTTGGAGAGGAGAGTATACCAAAAGAGACTGATTATTTTAGAGATTAATTCAATTAACATCAATTAGGTACTGAACTTTTCGCTTTATCCATTGATCTTCGAGGTTTGGTTGGAGAATTTTATTGCTTGTGTACGTGTGCCTTTTTATCATTAGCCATTTTAAAGATTATCTAATCCATCTATTGAGCAGTCAGCCATGCCTTCATTTCAAGAAGCTATCGTTTTGAGGAGAACGTTATCTAAATGTCTTTCTAAGAAGAATTTAAACCAGTTATTGACTAGAACTTATATAACACATTCTGGCAAGAATTCAAATACGGCTGCTAAGGATAATAAAAACAATAACAATCACCATCGTAACAGAAAAATTGCCAATTCAAATGTAGCCCTTATAAGCAGTGGTCTTCTTTTACTTTCATATTATTATTCTTCACTGGATAATTTGGTCTCTTTAGACACTGTTAAGAGCATCAGACAATTCTCATCATCTAGTATGAATGAGAAGGAACAGGGAAAGGATTCAATTTTATTGTTATCCGATAATGAAGTCAATACTAAATTAAGAAACTTGCAAGAAAGTATATCAGTTAATAGAGGAAATGGTATTTTACGTTATGACACTTCTCAATTACCTTCAAATCATCCCATTGAAGATAACCATGTTGAACAAATAATTACAATTCCAAGAAAGACTTTAAATATGGATTCTAAACCAGCTCCTGATAAAATATTAGTTACCACTCCAACTGCTAGTGTAGATGATGATGATCTTTATTTTTTTGGTATATTTGATGGACACAGTGGTCCATTCACTTCTGCAAAGTTAACTTCTGAATTAGTGAAATACGTTGCTGCCCAATTAAATAACTTATATGAAGGAAGTTCTGATGCTATTAATTTTTCTGATAAATTAGAAATTGCAATTAAAAATGGATTTATACAATTGGATCATGACATCGTTAATGGCTCTTTATCAAATTTGATCAGAGACCCTACTAAGGAAAACATGTTAAAATCATTACCGGCAATCAGTGGTTCATGTGCATTACTGTCCGTTTATAACTCCATAGATTCTACTTTGAAAGTTGCTGTTACTGGTGATTCAAGAGCGTTGATATGTAAAAAAGAAGCCGATGGAGATTGGACTGTTAAATCTTTATCAACCGACCAAACTGGTGATAATCAGCAAGAAGTAGAAAGAATTAAAAAGGAACATCCTGATGAACCTAACGTTATCCGTAACGGTAGAGTACTAGGTTCATTGCAACCATCTAGAGCGTTTGGTGATTATCGTTATAAAGTGAAAGAAATCGATGGAAAATCATTGAGCGAATTGCCAGAACATGTCAAGATTTATTTCAGAAAAGAGCCCAGATTTTTCTTAACCCCACCATACGTCACTGCAAGACCTGAAAATACGACCTCTAAAGTCGATCCAGAGTCTAAATTTATGGTTCTAGCCTCTGATGGATTATTTGAATTATATCTAATGAAGAAATAGCAGGATTAGTACTTAATGGATTGGAAAAACNTGAACCCACAATAAAATCCGATCACCAAAGGAAAATTCCTATAGTAAAGATTTTCACCAAAAAAAGCTCAAAGCCTGCCTTTAAATAAAGAAGTAATAATGAAAAATCTTAACCTCAAATATCTAAAAAAAACTAACGTTCCCCCTTTTAAAGAAACGCCTAAGGCAGGGGACCAAAAAACTTTCACTTATTAGCTCATCCCAAGGCAAAAATCGAACAATTAAGGAACGCCGATTTTTGGAACAATAACATCCAAAAGGGTGTTGTTTAACGAAAGAATTCCAAACAGTTT